GGCCAATGGACAGCCTTTGAACTATTTTATATAGATGCTGGATAGCTTCAGATTTTTGATTTATAAAAATCATTCTGTCAGCATTGGTGGAAAGTGGACTGGAAAGGAGACAGGCTGGAGGCAGTAGTAATCCAGACTACAAGTGATGCACATGTGTTGGGAATGGGGTAGTGTGCTCTAAACTAAGGTAATGGTAATAGGGGTGTTTACAGGGAAAACTTTTTAAAATAACTTTTTAAAAATTAACAAATTTATCCTTATAGATTAGAAAATAAAAATATACAAAAGGTTAAAAATAGAAGTCATATGTAACCTTACTATTTATAGCAAGTCCCTATTAATATTTTTTTGAGTTTAACATGACATGATTTTTCCCTGTGTATGCCTACACAGATGCGTGTGTGTGTATGTGTGACGTGTATATATTAAAACTAGGATCTGCCACTCTGTACTGACAGTTTTATGACCTGAATTTTGTCCTAGTATATCATAAACAATTTTCCACATTTTAAATATTCTTTGGTAACATCAATTTACATGGCTACTTAGCCATACATTCTATAGATGTATCACAGTTGAATTCATTCAAACCCTTAGTATTAGACATTTAAGATGCTAATTTCTTCCCTTTTTGCTATTATCATAAACAACTCTGGGATAGACATCCTGGGAGTTAATTTTTTTGAAACATCATGATTGTTTTCTAAGTATAATGCCTTCAAAGTTGAAGTGGCAGGTAGAAAGAAAAGCTATGTTCAAATTATCATAATACGATAAGAAAGGGATGGGCAGTAGTGGGAAATTGCCAGGGGAAGGGGGGTGGGATTGGCTGTTGATGGAAACTGCCAGGGGAGGGAGAGGCATACCTCATCAACAAGGGTACCAGCATAATGAACATTTGTATGCCTAACCCTGAATTCTACCTCACATCTTTAAAATAAAGAAAAAAAAATTTTAAAAGAAGGAAAAGCTATATTCGATTTTAAAATTATTCACAGCTATTGACAAATTACTCTCTCGCAAGGCTGTATCAAATTACAGTCCCACGAGCAGTGTATATGAGTAGGAGGAGATGAATTTGAGAGTGATGTCAAGGATAAAAACAACTGGACTTAGGTAGGTAGAGAGCAGGGATGTTTCCTGACAAAGTATCAGAGACGAGGCAATGTGAACTCTGTTAAGAGGAGCAAAGCAAAGGGCAGGACCAAGAACAGGTGTCTGGGTAGGTAAATGGTGAGAAAGAAAAAGGTAAGATAACTTGGGAAGAGTGGAAAAAAATAAAATCTCTATTGAAATTATGGGCACTTTCATCACTGCTTTATTCAGCAAAAATGGCCAATGTAGCAAACAGCTAGTCTTTTCATAGCATTTAACACTCTGTGCTACCAAGGTTCCCAGTAAAATACATGCAAATCTGTTGATCCATTCTTTTCATCCAATGACTACTGACTAGGTGTCTACCATGTGCCAGGTGCCATTCTGGATGCTATGGGTATGGAGATAAATGAAACCTAGTCCCTGCCCCCAGGAAGCTCACAGTCTAGTGGGGGAGGCAGAAAACGTCCACAGACTGACACACTATTGAGTGATACTGACCAGAAGAGAGGTAAATACAGGGCCCTGTGGAAGTCAGAGGCCTAACATTGCTTTGTGTGTACATACATTCATGTATGTGGGAGTGGGGGGTGTTGGAAAGGCTTCACAAGGGTGTTGATATCGGAGCTGAGTCTTGAAGGCCAAGGCTAAAGGTCACAGGTCAAAGTGATATTCTTTACCAGTGCCTTGAATATTTGTGCCCCTGCTCTCAAGGTCACTGTAAGGCAGAAAGGATGCTTGCATGTAATCCAAACCCACTCTTGAACAGTAACAACAACCTTAATGCACATAAAACATAGCATGTTTTGGAAATATTATGCTGACCACAGAATATAAAGAAAAACAGTCAAGAGGCACATACAGACTTTTAAAACAATCCTGGCGACATTGATAAAATAATATCCACATCTACCAAGTCCTAATTCTACCTCCTAAACATTTTTCAAATCTGTGCCTCCTGCTGTGTGTCACCATTCTCAGATCTTTATCATCTCTCTGTGGAACAGAGCGCCAGGCTCCTATCTAGTCATATCCACCTCCACTGTATCCTTCCCTCTGTCGTCATCCAAAAGTAAAAATCTAATCATAGTACTCTTCTTCTAAGGCATTTAACTTTTTTATTGTCTACAAGCAGCATTTCTCGAATTTCAATCATTTGTGTGTTACTCAGTGATTTCTACCATATTCACACATGTATACTATTATTTACTTAATATTTGTCTTTAACTTAAAACTGGTTGACTTTCTATTTTTACTAAGCAAAAGCCTAAGTAACCTTAGATGTGATGATCTAATTCAGTGTTATTTTTTATAAGACACATTCAAATATGTAGCTAGTAAACTTTAAAATGTTTGTGGGAGCACAACGACATCACCACCACTGGCAGATACCCTACATTTTGAGAACCATTGGCCTATGTGGCACTTCCCAACTTCTTAGCATTGCAGTCAAGGTTCTTCACAAATTAGCCCCAATCTCTCTTTCCAGACTCCCCTCCTACCATTATACCTTCCTTTCTCCAATCTGCATCCCAGTCATGCTGAATTCCTCCACATTGAATGAACATGCCTGGCTCCTATACAGTCATATGTTTTTCACAAACTGATCCCTCCATTTGGAAAGCCTCCCTTCCACTCTTCACAGTCTGGCAAACTCATTATTATTCAAGACCTGTCATGTCACCTTCTCATAGAAGTCTTCGCTCTGACTCTCCTTAACAGCTAGTCACTCCTTCCTCCATCACTGCATAGGACTTTGTACCTGTCTCTGTTATACTACACACTATAGTATCTCTGAATTGTGGGCATCAATCTCCCCAACTAAACCTAGGGAGAATTCCTATTTTGTTGCATCTCCAACCCCTCACATGGGTGGAGGTCATGAAAGACATCTAGTGTGCCATGTAACATTTTTAAAAAGCTAATTTTTAAAAAATTGAAAGTATTGTCGGTATCCAAATAGCTTAGGGGTATAACACATTTTATAAAGAGATTTATCTAATTCAGAAATAGCTATACTGACTATAGTTTTGGCAGATACAATTAGCTATGGTTGCAATAGCAGTTAAGCTAATTTGGTTTTGGCAGCTACTTTACAGCAGACACATTCTGACATAGAAATTCAAAGTGAATCATTTGGGTTTTGGCCAGGATAATGAAGTATACCTCACAATAATCTCTTCTTATCACAACTGGAAAACCAAGAACGAAAATGAACATTGAGACCAGCAAACCATGATAAACAGAGCATGGACTTTGAAGTCAGAAATTTGTACACTCAAATCTCACCTCAACTCCTTACAATCTAAGTGACTTTAGGTACACTGTTTAACATCTCTGCATTTTAGACTTTTATTCTAGGAAAAAAGGAAATAATAGCACCTACTTCATAACACTCTTAAGATAATGCAACCAAGTGTTTATCATGATGCGTGGGACATTATGTGGGCTAAATAGCAGTCGTTATTGTCACCTAATGAAATGACTAAAATTCAGATAATAAGATGCACAGGGAGAGCAAATGCATTTCCTAAGGAAATAAATTGATGTCACTAGGCTATAAAATGTAGCTAAGAATGGCAACAAAGAATATGTAAGACAAACTTCTTCTTGGATTTAAATTAAACTCACATCTGGAACATACCACCACACTTCTTTGTTTTCTCCAAGAATTGATCTCAAATCAGGTCCCCCTAGGATGAAAAGAAAAATCATCCAATCTTAATTTTTTGCCTTGAATTTTATTTGATAAAGATAATAAAGATCCAAACTATGTGGATGTCTCAAAGCATCATGTTATTATGACCCCAAACTTCAACCCTATTTATTTTCCAGAATATCCCGCTGACACCTTTTACTCCAATCAGGCAACCCCACCTGTTACGGAGTGCTCCCTCTTCTGTCTACCCTGCTCCAACTCCAATTCCAGCATTGGGAAGCATTTTCTCCCTCCTCTTCGCCCACTTCAAATCCCCTTTACTCTGTTGGAGCCCAAATTAAAATCTACCTTCTTCACAAAGACTTAAAGACAGATGAGGGCTTCAAGACTTCAGCACTTCCTGGGGTAGGCTTGAATGTACATAGATCAACCCCCCCTTCCCCAGCAGTATGCCCTTCCACTGAACCCCATAGCACTTTTTGCACGCGTTTGTAATAATACAGTAATTAATACAGTCTGTTTCACATGGTCTACTTTATTCTGTAGTTGGTGTGCCCTCTAAACGTTTGTCAACATTAGGGCTATCAGACTTTGCTGGAAACCCCGGAAGCTCTCAGTTTTTATAACAGGTTCAACTTGCCTTCTACTCTCACCAGAACCCTTAAACACACATTTCTCAAAAGCAAGATTTCTTTCTTCTTCTGCTGACATCCCTGCTAGAAACTGAAGGAAAATTCTTTCCACTCCAAAGACCTGGTCCGGGAAGGGACGGGTGACAGAGGGGCCAGTTAAGAGATGACGATCTTTACCCCACCATCAAGGGGACAGAGAAAAATGTGACAAAAAGTCACGCCCCGGACGTGGCAAGGAATTCCCACGCCCCCAGGGAAAAGGGGAGTGTGTGCTTAAGGATGGGGGTGTGTGCCTAAACCTGATATGCAAGACCCTGGACGCGAACCCCTAACTTCAGACCTCGGAGGAGGAACAGAGCGGGGGCAGCGGAGTGAACGAAAAAGAGCGGGCGGATTGGAGAAAAAAAGAGCGCGTTCCCGAGACTCCAGGGAACTGGCGCGGAGAGCTCAAAAGCCCACCCCCGACTCCCAGTCCCAACACCCCCTCCCCGGCAGAGGCGGAGCTGGGCGGAGTTAGACTCAGAGGACAGCGGCCCCGGAAGCACCCTCCTCCCTTGGCCCCCTCAGCTTCACAGTCCCCAGCCACCACCACTCGTGCTTTCTGCCTCTCTGACCTCCAGCTCCCCGGCTTCCGAAGCGTTACTCCTTACCCAGCCGCGGAAAATTGGGCCGGCGAGGCAGCTCCCGGACGCGTGGTGCCCCCGCGGCGCCCCACGCCTCGCCACCGTCTCCCGAAATCCCCGCCAAGCGTGAGCCAGCCTAGGCCCGGCACTCCGGCCTCAGGCTGGACTCTCACCCATACGGTGGCCGCTGCGGCGTCTCCTATTGGTTACTGGTCACCAGGGAAGCCCGAGGCCCAGGCCCTTGCCTTCATGGGAAATGTAGTTTGAGGTCGCTGGAGGCTGTTCTTCCTGGGGGGATCCAATATTGACACTGGCGGAGAAACTCAAGTGAAAGCAGAGGATTGTGGGAGATGGAGTCGAGACACTTTCTATGTACCCACAAATCATCCCCCGCCGCAGCGTTTGATTGTCCCTGGGGTTCAGACGAAGGAGAGGATTCTGGGTGTTGTAGTTTGGAGTGCACTGTCTGACAGTATCTCTCTTGGGTTATAGGGTTGTGCTTGTGGGAACACACGAAAGCTCCAGATGTATTTTAACGTTGGTTAAGCCATTAGCATTTTCTGAGGAGCACTTTCTATCGTGATTTGAAATTCTTATTGAGTTTTGAATGGTTTTTTAAAAAAATTAATTATTCTCTAATACGTTTAGAATTTTAATTGAAAGGGGAATATGCTCCTTTAAAACTGTCAGAGTGTGTTCTGTGTGAACCACCTGCATTACAATCACCTTAAAGGTCTAGGAAAATGTATATTTTGTTTCTAATTGGGAATCATTTGTTCCCCTTAAAAATAGTGTCATATATAGGCATAGAAATGTGGCCTAGATCAGCCCAGAAGAAGCCTATTTAACCCATAAATGAAGCTACATCGTTGCCATGAAAAACAGTGGCCACATACTCTGCTTTATTTCAGTGGTTGAGGACAGATTGTACAACTTAAGTAATAGCAAATAACTGCATAAATGTGGCCTAGATCAGCCCAGAAGAAGCCTATTTAACCCATAAATGAAGCTACATCGTTGCCATGAAAAACAGTGGCCACATACTCTGCTTTATTTCAGTGGTTGAGGACAGATTGTACAACTTAAGTAATAGCAAATAACTGCATATGTCTTTTTTTAAAAACTATCTTTGAGTAAAAATATATTACAAGAGGTGGATAAAACACATAGTTGGGAGCAAATGATTGTTTGTTAGGGCTAATTGCACTTCTAACTTTTGATTTTTTTTTATTAGAGTTGAATCCTTATAGCTTCATGGATCATTGACATACTACCACTTTCCTGAGAAGGATAACTTTTTTATTCACAAATGGAATGAAGGGGGAAAGGATGAATTACATTTTGCTAAGGTCATTTAAAAGAGAAGTGAAGGAGGAAGATGATTTAACCAGTTCAACCATTTATTCAGCAAACTGCTTTGTAAAAGACTTCTGGAGGAGACCATGCTTGAGGACGAGACTTCTGTAGGAGACCATGCTTGAGGATGAGACTTGAAGAACCAGCAAAATATTTGTTAGATTTGTGGCAGGAGGTCAACCATATTCTATAAAGAGCATGTACAAAGGCATAAGGGCACGAGAGAGTACAGGAATCAACAACAACAACAAAAGTGTTCCATCGTGCAAAGACTAGATCAGGCAGGAATAGATGATCATATCAGTGAGTTCAAAATTTAATCTGAAAGCAGTAGAAAATCATAAAAGCATTTTATGCAAGGAAATGGCATGATCAGATAAAGTTGGTAGATGTGAGGGAAGTGAGGGAATTGGAGGACTCCCAAGTTCTGACTTGGTAGACTGAGTGTATGGTAGTACCATTCACTGAGATAGGGAACCAAGAAAGAGTGGCAAGTTTTGTGAAGGATAGGAAGAAATTGGTTCTGGATATTTAAAATTTGAGGAATTGATGGAACATTTGGGCAGAGATGCCTGGCAGGCTGTTGAGAAGTGTGGGTCTGAAGCTCAGGAGAGAGGTCTTGATTGGAACTAAATATTTGGGAGATATGAGTATGTAGATGTATGAGATGACAAATAAGTGAAAATGAATTAAATTTCATTTAGAGATATTTATAATAATGATTTTTTTAAAAGATAAAGATTAAATATGGAATTCTTAAAAATAATCATATTTAAGTAGCAGCTAGAGGAAGAGATGCCTTCAAACAAAGCTGAGAAGGAATGACTAAATAGAAAGAGAAAACAAAGTAGAATTACTGAAATATAGCACAGAGAGAACAAGTAACAGAAGGATAGGAGATTAACACAGAATTACTCATTCACTCATTTAGCAAGTCTTTATTGAGCACATGTAATGTGCCAGGTATGATTCCAAATGCTGAGAATGGAGAAGTGCAACCCACCCCCCCCCCACACAATATCCCTTCCCTTTAGTGGTTATATTCTAGTAGAGAGAAACCATCAAGAAACTAGATAAATAATTAAAATACATAGCTGTGGCAAGTAATATTTCTGTACAGTTCATTAGAATATGTATACACACATATATTTGTGCTTATGTGTATATACAAAGGTGATACTTTTTGATCTATTGTATGAGTAGATGAATTTGTGAAGTAGTGGCCTAGGGTCAAACAGTCTGTCTGGGTTCAGAGACTAACTTGTACGCCAGTGTTAGAGCTGTAACTAGAGCCAATGTAGAGCTCAGGGCATAGCTAGAGTTCAGATTTGTAATGTGGACTGTGTTAGGCTTCAATTTTTGTTTAGGTTAAGGCTTAGTAAGTCTGTAGCTATGTTTACAGGTCAGTGTGGATCCACAGTTAGAGGACCATCATCCAAGCTTAGGGCTCAGCCTGGTATCAGTGTTAGGCCCCAGAGTTATAGCTGTGGTTCAAACCATGGTATGGATTAGAGTGCGTCTCTGAACAGCATTAAAGTTCACTCTGAGGCTGCTGTTAGTCCAGAGTAGCCTGGATCATACCTCACTGTGAAGTCAATGTACAAGATTTGGGTTCAAATTCTGACCAGTATTAGGATTTAGTCTGTACATAGGAAGAGGCATCATTCTAAGACCACTGTTAAGTCTTAATCTGTGGATAAGACTTAAGCCATAGCCAGCATTAGGGCTCAGCTCAAGGTTTGAATTTGGTTTTTGGTTAGTGTTGGAATTGCTTTTACTTCTAGGCCTGAGAGTCAATAAAGGCCAAGATCATGGCTCTACTTGGGATTAGTGTTTGTGTTGATTTTGTTGCCTAGGGAAAAACTAAGAATATGAACAGTATTTATGTGCAGTTTTTCATCAGATTAAGTTTCAATTTGTGTTTATCTTTGGTCCAATAATTAAGCCTCAGTCTGTGGTCAATGGTAAAGCACAGTCAATGTCTAATATTCAGTCTGTTTCCATGTTAGGTCATTACCTGTGATGTACCCTAAAGCCTTGTCTCAAGCCAGAGACAACGATTATAGTATAGTTTGTGGACAACAATTACAGTATAGTTTGTAGCCAGGATTTCAGCTATGACAAGGATTTTGCATGCCTATTTGGCCAGAGTAGGTTCAAGGTGTGATTTCTGACTTTAGCCAGTGTCAGGGTCTGTTGAACCATAGCTCATACCAGGAAGGGTCTGTGGAGCTAAGTCACAGTGGCTAGTGTTGGGCCTCATTCTGTGGCCAGAATAGGGCTCAGTCAGTGACCTGTGTTAGGCATTTTAATTTGGCCACTATCAGAGTTGAGTCTGAAGTTAGTGGTCCCACTTTGACTTTATGTAGCATTTGTGTTCACTGAGTGCTAGTGGTGGTGCTATCTGATTAAACTTTTTTTTTTTTTTTTTGAGATGGAGTCTCACTCTGTCACCCAGGCTGGAGTGCAGTGACACACTCATGGCCACCCCAGCATCAACCTGCTGGGCTCCAGCGATCCTTCTGCCTCAGCCTTCCAGGTAACCAGAACTACATGTGTGTGCTACCACACCCGGCTAATATATTTTTATTTATTGTAGAGACGAGATCTCGCCAAGTTGCCCGGACTGGTCTCAAACCCGCAGGCTCAGGTAATCCACTTGCCTTGGTCTCCCAAAGTGCTGAGATTACAGGCTGAGCCACCAAACCCGGCCTGATTAAACTTATACTAGAGTTTAGACGTTACCAATGGCCAGGGTAAAGCTTTTAGAGCTAAAAGTGTAATCAGGCTTTTTAGATTGGCTGTTGATGGTACATATCAACCTATAGGTAGGGTTAGGGTGAGAATGGCAACACATAGAATCCAGCTTGAGTTCAGGTTTAGAGGATAAAGCTGTAATCAGGGTTTAAGGATCAGGATGTTGTCAGGGTCTGAGTTCAGAGTGTTCATTTCCTGTTGTCAGTCTGAGACTTAGACTCTGGCTAGTGTACCAGGCATTTCGGTACCAGTAGTAGAGTTCAGTCTGTGCTAATTGTTAGTTATCATACTGTCTCAGTATCAGGGGTACATCTATCCCCAACTTAGGACTAGGTCTCTTGTCAGATTGATTGCACAGCCTCCAATGAGTACTAGGACTCGTGGCTACCAAAATAACGAACTTTGTTTATGGGCTTAAGACTCATTCTATGGCAAAGTTTAATACCTAGTCTCAACCTGTTGTTAAATCTAATAACATGAAGAGCATTTTGTTTTGTCTTTTTTCGTGTGTTTTTGCTTCATAGTAGTAGGAATCACTTTTTATACAAGCTTAGAGCTTGGTCTTTAGGTCTCAGGCTGTGGGCAGGATTTACAGTCTTCATCCCAAGTCATTGTTCAGAATATGACCAGTAATAGGGCTCAGATCTTGTTCTGTGGTGAGTTGAATTTGTGCTCAGGGTTAGAGTTAAATCTCTTGCTAGGTTTCAAGCTAAGAACATGAAAACTGCATTTGTTTTTTCTTTGCTTAGATTGTCCTTAATTCATGTTCAAGGTTTAGGTTCATTCTTTGCTCAGTGCTGGTTCAGTCTATTTCAAAGATTCAGGGTCAGTCATTAGCCATTTGGAGGGATTAGAGTTACTTTCAGGTTGAAAGCTCAGATTGGAGGTTAGGCTTATAAACTCAGTCTGTGATGAGCATTAGGAATTCAGTCTGTGGCTAGAATTGGGGAAACAGTCTGTAACCAGTTAGAGGCTGTAAGGTATAGGATCAAATCAGTGGCCAGTGATGGGTCTCAGTCTATCCAAGGTTCTGTGAATTAGTTCACGGTCAGATTTATGAACTCAG